ATAAAAAAATTATAAAGATTAATTAATTTAAATAATTTTTATTAAAAATAATTATTAATTTTTATATTAAGATACAAATTTTTTTGTACTAACATATATTTTTATAATAATTTCTTTCTAGTTTAATTTTAATTAAATATTATTATTAATAATTTTTAAATATTACTTTATAATATAATAAAAAATCTTTAAATACAAAAATTTTATATTAAATAATATTAAATTATAAAGATAATTCTTGAAAGTAAATAAAATTTAAAATAAATTTATTAATAATAATTTTTTATTACTATATTTTTACCATTATTATTTTTAAATCTTGATATTTTATAATAAATTATATAAAATATATAATATAAAATAAAATTAAAATTAAATCAAATATTAAATTATTTAAAAAAATATTTAAAACTAAAATTTTTACTTTTTATTTTTAAAATAAAAGTACTTTTTAAATACAAAATTATTATTATATAAATATTTAAAAAATATTTAAATATTTTAAAAATATAACTTTATTAAAGTTGATATTTAAATTAGTTAAATATATTTATTTAAAATTTATATAATTAAATTATTAATAAATTTTTATCTAAAATATTCAAAATTATTAAAGTATCAATTCTAAACTTAATATTTTAAAAAATAAATATATAAACTAAATTATAAATTTATAAATTAAGAAATAAATTTATAAATTTATGAATAAAGAAATAAATATATAAATTAAAGAAATAAAGATATAACTATTTTATAATATAAATCAATAAATTATAATCAATAAGATTAAAGATATTATCTTAATTAATTGTGACTTGTGATAGTTAATTAGAGAATTGTGATTAATTATGATAGTTAATCAGAAAATTATAACCAAGTTATGATATTATCTTTAAATAAGATATAATAAATATAATAATATAATAATTAATAAAATATAATACATATAATAATTATAATAAACTAATAAAATATGTTTAATATTAAATAATAATTATAAAAAATAATAAAATAATAAATAAAAATTTTAACTATAATTAGAGTTAATTCTAGAAAAATTTTGAATAGTTTAAATAAAAATTTATTAATAATTTAATTATATAAATAATAGATAAATATATTTGAATTAATTTAAAAGTCAATCTTAATTATAATATATTTTTTTATTTAATTTTAAGCTTTATTAAAATATTAGATCAAAATTAAAAAATAATAAAAAAAAGAGATATAAAATAAAAAAGATAAAGAATAAAAATAAAAAAATATTATTTTTTCAATTAATTAATTTATATTAATTCAATTTAATTTAAATTATAAATAAAACTTATAAATATATTTATTAAAATATTAATTTTAATTTAGTTATCATTATAAAAAATAATATTATCTAAAATAAAAAAATTTTAAAAAAAAATAAATATATAAAGAATAATATAAAATAATAAAGAATAATATTATAACAATAAGACTTAATAATAAGTAATAATTAATCTTTTCTCAAGTATAATTATATTAATTTGATGCTTAATGACTTTTATTCTTACTAACTAGTTTATATTAATTAAATTTAGTATAATTACTAAATAATAAATAAATAAACTAGTAATCATGATAATTAATTTATATCAAATTTTAAATTTGCCTTAATCTTATTCAATTTATAATAATAATAGTATATAAAGATAATTTTTACATCTAATAATTTGAGTTACTATTGATATTATCAAAATAATTAAGCTAAAAAAAATAAAGATAGTAAAAGATATAGAATAAAGAAAATTAAAAAAAGAAATACATAAAAAATATTCTTTAATAAGAAAATAATTAAATATAATATATAAAATAAATAATAATTAATAATAAATAATATGATAAATATAAAAGATAATAATAAGATAAATAATAAATAATAAGATAAATAATATAATAAATAATCAAATATAAATAAGATAAAATAAATAAATAATAAATAAAAGAAAAATATTTATATTATTTAAACTGCTTTAGTTGTATATAAGTTTAATTTTTTGAATTTTTATGAATCTTATAATAATTTATCCAGTAAAGATATGTTTGAAACTCTCATAAGAACACTGTTAAGAAAATTTGATTTATCGAGTTATATAAGAACAAAATTTTTTGCACCCAACCGGTTTCTTATAAAGAATTTTCTACCGAGACTTTACAAAGTGGTATTTGTCTACAATCATTTCGATTTGTCGAAATTTTAATTCCTTTTGTTCCCTTATTTTTTCCATTAATATTATCTCATTTCCCTCGATGATATTTTGTAAAATATCTAATCCGATATACTTTGATAAGGGCTCAAGCACCTCTAATGCGATTCCTTGTAATCCAACACTCCACCATCGACAACCTCCTTCTGATAATTTATTGAAATTAATACCACAAGGTCCTATTGGTCTAGCTTTTCTGTAAGAACTTTGCCAATTAAAGCGGTAATGTTCCCATTGTCTAAATAATGACCAGTATCCTATGTTCTTAATTATGTCGAAATCATAGGGATACATATTAGGATACGTATCCGGTAATTCACCCTCATATTTGTTGCATATATTAATTATTTCTTGTAATATGTTATCATCCTGATAAAAATTAAAGATACATTGAAGCGGTCCAAGAAAAATCCTCAGACGACGACGTATGCTTCTTATCACTGCAACGTGAATTGTTTTTGATTTTTTTGTTTTGGGATTATCCAAAAATGTTATAACCCTTTCCTGTGATGTGTAATCCAGTGGCTTAATGTATAATTGTAATTGTTCGATCAGCATTTTGGCGTATTTATTTATTTTTTCTTCGAGCAATTTTCCAAAAGACTCCTGTTCATTAGCAAACCGGTACCACTTTATTTCGGAATGAAGCATGGTTGGTCGCATAAATTTGTAAAAATGATGGAAGAGAAACATTGTAAGAATAGTTTCGCACTTTTGTAAAAATTCATCGAAATGAGATGATCGTGAGGATAAATTCGTCAAAGATAAAGATGGGAACGTATATCCAGTCGAATAATGTAAATTCATTCCGCGTTCATCCACAAGCGTGTATAGATTCATAGAAATAGTGTACAGACTCTTGGGATCAAATGATATATCTAATATTGTACATGTTCTGTATAATCCCCCTTGTCCATATAATGTCCCTGTTATGAACCTTCCTATAGGTCCACTTATTTCTACTTTTCCTTCATCACTATAATAAGGTTCTCTCAACCCGGCGTCTTTTTCACTATATGTCGGATATAACCATGGCCATTTTGCAATCATCTTATCCACGAGTCTTGTCATAAAATCGTACATTTCTTCATATTGATCATGTTTTTTATTTGGCGCAATTACTCGTGGAACTTTCAAGATTGCATGAATGTTAAGTACAGGCCCAGTATATTGAAAATAAACTCGAAATATATATTTCCATAGTGGAGGGTTGATAGGGAGTGTTATGTTTCGTTGTCTTCGTCGGTTATGCAAATCAATATGGTATAGGTCTAATGCAGGCGCTGAAACAAGCGGAGATACCTCAATAGAGGAATATCTTTTAGAGGTTAAATACAACCAAAAATCTTCTATGTCAATTTGTTGAAGAAAGATACGAGATGTTGACATTAGTGAGCCATAATATCGCAAAGGTATCAATTCAGTTATGCATTGCAAAATTTCGGTTGGAAACTCTGACAAATTTTTCATTTTATTTCCCACTATTTTTTTTACCAATTAAGTGGTTGGTGTTGTGTAATAATTTGAATTTGACATTGTTTCCTATTTTGTTCATTACACAAAAATACGAGTTATTAAAGATCAAGCGTTACAAACATAAATATCCTCACTTTAACCTTAAATAGAGGATCATCCCGGTAGGTGAAAAGTCATTAACAGAAGCATTCGTTATTAAGCTTATTTTTAAACGTGATAGATTTTCGTGATTTAATAAGAGGTTCTCTAACAGCCAAACTATTGTAACTTGATCGTATTTTATTTGTCTTTCATGACCATTTTCGTATAATTTTTCTAAAGGTAACTAGCGAACCAAATTACTACTAATTTGCTTTTATTGAACTAATAGTTTTTTTGCAAAAAGGCTATCAAAATATTATATTACATTATTTATATATATGTATTATTATTATTATTATTATTATTTTTATTATTATTATTATTATTATTATTATTATTATTATTATTATTATTATTA